TGTGTGTGTGTGTGTATTTGTGATGCTACATAGAAATAACATAGTCATATGACTCACATGCCAGCTGTCCCTGCCAGGATCGTACTTATGTTACAGTTCACCTCTGCTAAATGAAGTACACAAGACTTACAGGTTTTTAATGTGTTTCCGTGTATCGTGTTGCGACACTCTGCTTTCATATTTCTCAGGACGGTCTGAATGAATGTCGTCCCTGTGCTTGAATGCACCGTTTTGTTCGTGTAGAAGCATTAGTGACCAACTGCTGCTTGTTCTTTCCTGGACTGAGGCTATAAGATGAGTTCTGGCTCAAATAAGATGCTGATAGTTACAACACTTCAATTCAATTAAAAACCTCTTATTGTAATTAATGAAATTAAGCATCCCAGTGGTCTAAATAACTCACAGATAAGTAGACACGATGCTGTCTGTTAAATACATATAAAAACAAACAATAAATTGGAAATATTAAGGGTATTAAAGCAGATGAGTATGTGAGCTCTGTTGCATAGTTAGGATAACATTGCAATTATTATTTCAACCTGCAAAAGGTTTGCAATTATTACGCTTCTAGCAGTGTACAATCAATTTGCTGATTTTTTCCAAATAATGCGAGAATAAGAGAATAAGAAGAAATGCTGCATCTCTGTGCTTCATAATTACAGATTTCTAACAATAATTTATTCGATACTATTGTGTGTTTGTCTTTGAATAACCGGCCACTTACAAAAAAGGAGGTAAATTGATTCTGTTCATTCCCGGAAAACAAAAAAAACACCATGAAGATACAGTTGATCATTAACGTTATTATTCTTTTGGACTCTGTCGTTGGCCACAGCACTTTCGCAAACAGCCAGTATTTATAATGTGATCGTTCAGACGGCTCATTCAGAAAACAGTAATCCATTACATATGCCTCTCAAATGATGCAACACGCTCTGTACTTGAACAGTGGCGACAGCCGGCTGTCACGCTGGAATCTACAGGGTCCATGCAGACGAACCAATGAGTTGGTTACAGCGGAGACAAAAGCGTCCCGCAAGACCTCAACACTCTCATTTAGATATGAGAAAATGAATGGCAAAGCTTGGCCTGAGCCTCAGAGAAATAAAAATCATGTCCACTGTCGACCAGCTTATGAATTCCAGCAGGCAATTACGTCTTCTTGATGGAAAAAGTTGATTAGCTTAAATGGGATAGGGAGCCGTGTATCAGAGGAGAATAATTATATCACTTATGAAAGGTGATTTGACAAAAACAGTGCTGACACCAGTCGTTATCTTAATTCTTTCCTTTATTAAACATGAAACTAAATTGGAGCACATGGCCTCTAATGATTTACAGGAAGATTTCCTAGGGTAGCCTTTGTATGCTGTGCTGCTCGGCTGTTTCCTTATGCTATTTTATGATTGTCTCTCTCCTTGTAGCCCTATTATTGTTTAGATACACGATGTTTATGGAAAACAATGGAAAGGGAAACACTTACATGAATGGGACCAGAGGTTATGGGAATTTCTAACTTCCCCCTGGACTCTGTCTTCACCATCTGAGCCTTTTTCTGAACTCAGATGACACACACATCAAACCGTGATCGTTGAGTCTCGACCTGCAGATCTCAAGTGTTCCATTTCACTAGAGAATAAATTGCCCTTATGTGTGCAACGAAAATGCTCGCTGGCGTTCTTGAATCCCGACTGCGGAACAGAATCATGTTGTGTTTTCATGTGTCCTGTGTTCAAGTAGCCACCAGTGACTGGAAAAAGAAAGTGCTGCCAGGGATGTCTCCTGATGGCACAGCATTTGACCGTAATGGAAATACAGAGACTCAGCACACTTGATTTAATCTTTATTTTTGTCTCCATTTGTTTTTATGATGACCAGGCAAAGCACATCATGGAGACAAGAGGTCATTAGGCACTCGGCTATAATGCTACGTGGATCTGAGTGTGTCTTAAATGGACATGAAAGCAAGTCTAATTTTAGACACTAATGGTGGGAATCACCCTTCGTTTACTGCTATGGCAGGAAGCTAAAAATATCTGAAGCTGCCCTTATTTAAAAAAAAATACAGTTAATAAGTAATTAAATACACAATTATACAGTGTCAGAAATAAGTCATGGTCTCAACTTGTGTAGCACCATTGATGTGAGAAATGAAGCTCTTTAAAATATAGAGAAGCAAAGTAACATCAGTAAATACTGTTTATTCATTTACCAAACCCCCAGAGCGTCTGTTTTACTCTTTATTACATTTAGTCTGATTCCTTACAGTAGTTACTTCTTCAACGGAAAGAGAAAGAAAATAAAAAAGAAGGTATTACACATCCCCCCCCTCCATTCCACCCACAGTCCCAACATCTTGGATCGATAATAAAGGAAAAGACATTTAGGTTTCAAGAAATAAAGATTAATGATAAATAAAAACCCAGATCTGAGTGAAAATTAAGGCATATGAAGAGTGTCCGCATTCTAGACCAGTTCTGAGTCATTTCAGAGGAATGTAGTCTGAATAACACAAAGAGTCTATATACTGTAGTTCAGTGAGATTCTGGCTTCATCAGGAGTGTAGATAAAAGTTTGTTTCGGTCACTCAAAGCTTGCTTTAACTCAACTCTTAAATCCCATTGGCTTGTGATGTTTTGTGTGAAATCCGTACTGTTTTCCTGCTGTGTGTTAGTCCTATCAGGCACAGCATGCAGGGGCAGATTTAAGGTCACACAAACACTGTTCCTGATCCGGTACTGTAATTTTGGCTCGCTATCTTATTGAGCAGTTGTGCAATCAACGGCCTTTCCCCTCTCCTCTCCTTCCACAGGAGCATAAACCCATATGAACTAAAGTGACCCCTCGTTTTCTCTCACCTCCTCCTTTCTCTCACTTCTCCCCTCCCGCACAGACTCACTTGTCCACTCCTGAATCCAGCTGTCATCTGAATGCCGGTAACCCCATCTCGCTCACAGACCCCTCTCCGCTAAAACCTTCCCTTCCCCATGTTCCCAACGTTTCTGAATATTCCCTTTGTTTGCATCTTTTTACCTTCCTGTAGAATATTTAAGGAGAGGGGTGAGAACTGGGCTCAGAAAAATTTGTAACACGGTGAATCAAGTAGCAGCTCTTGTCCAGTCTTTTCAACCCTTGTCCTGCTGCACCATCCTAGTCTTCGTCGTATCCTCATCTTCCCTCTCTTCCTGTGATCTCCGCTCTTAGTGAACCCTCACTCACTTCTAGCCTTACAGAGCGATTCTCAGAACAGTAGGTGTGGAATCATTCCAAAGAAGTCTTTCCAACTTTTCTGTTTTTGACCCTGTTGGGCCTCATCTGTTTGGGCAGGAAGAAGTATGTCTGCTAGCACAGTTGGGAGGAAGAAATCTGAGACTTGAGCATGAGATACAGAATCAAGGTTGAAGCAGGGGAAATAAAACATCACGGGAAGCGAGTGAAGATGAAAAGTGAAGGGTTACTGGAAGTCAAATGAAAAGCGTGGAAGGTTGTTGCATTTCCTTCTCTACTTGCTGTCTCTGCAGAATTTCGCTTCAGCCTGAAAGTGCTTGCATGTAAGACATAGCGATGTAAACATGTGACCACACAAAGGAAACCTGAAGATTCATCTAAAAAATATAAGGAAGCACATGATCCTCACTGTTCAATTGAAATAAAGCAGGTCTACAAAGTGCTGAATGTTAATATGGTTTTTCCTGTGAGTCGCTCCAGAGTCAAGAACATCACTTTGTTCGGACTCATGTTATAAAATAACCTTGTTGTAAGTGAAACTGGTCACAGCTGATAATGTAAATATTTAATCTGCCTCCAGGTCAAGAGTGAAGGCCCTAAGCTGGTGCCGTTCTTCAAGGCGACATGTGTGTACTTTGTCCTGTGGCTGCCCACCTCCAGCCCATCCTGGTTCAGCGCCCTGATCAAATGTCTGCCCATCTTCTGCCTGTGGGTCTTTCTGCTGGCGCACGGCTTCAGCTTCCTTGGTGCTCACTCCAATGCCCGCAAGATCCTGGCTGGCCTCATCTTCTCTGCTCTGGGTGACGCCTTTCTCATCTGGCAGGAGCAGGGCTACTTTGTCCATGGTGAGAAGAAACCTGACACACTGAGCCGCTTTAGTAAAAATCATCTCATTTATAGGACTTGGGTATTTTACATCTGATGAAGGGATCATCTTTTTTCATTTGGGCCTTATTTGTGTAGTGTTGGTCATCATGGCTATTAGTAATATGTGACAGTAATCTCTATAAACTAATTCTGCATGTGAATGTGTAGAATCTGTAGTCCTAATACAAAAAGTATCGCTGGGAGAAACGTTCGTCTCCTGTGATAAAAGAAACTAAACGACAGCAAACGGAAGATAGAGGCTTGGCATGAATATGCACTGTCTTGGAAGCCAAAAAATTTTGGACGTTGCCTCCAGAGGCTTACGCCCAGACCGCGCTAACTGTGGTTGGGCTGCGGAATGGCTTGCAGTACATGTTAACAGATAAGAGTGGCCATACCGGCTGCAGTTCAGCCACAGAAGCAGACCAGAATTCAAAGTCTTCGTCATTAGGCGATAGCTGATGGGCTCCAGGATCAGGCATTATATAACAAAATCTGGGAAAGCGTTGATATCAATAAACATTAGTTGGGTAATCATACAGATTATGAATACGGTTGTTTCATACATGGGAAATAAAATAGCTGAGTTATCACCAAACAGTTTTAAACATCCATCTTGGTTTAGAGACATACAGTAACTCCTGCATGGTTCAACTTTGACTGTATTTACTGTGTAATGAGACTATTCTGAGTTTTTGAGAATCACACTGAATCTCCTGTTTACGAGATGTTTGATCGTGTGACTGCTGATGTTTTTGCCCTTTTAGACTTGTTATTGTTATATCCTTGTTTTCCCAGGTCGCAGAAATGACTTTGAGCACAAAGATGTCCTAACCAGTAAAGACACTGGCCAAAACTACAATTACCTGAGCCACATGTTGATTTATATAACTTATTGATCCTGTAATTCCTCATGAATCATGTGAGCTGCTTACCGTTAAATCAGATCTCATGCTTCACGCTTTAATCAGAATTAGAAATACTTAATTGATCCCCAGGGAAAATTGGGTTTGTGACAGTTGCTCCAACCAAGAATAGAAATATGTACAGACCAAGACCTTAGATAAATGGAAACATAAAAATAGATGTAGAAATATGTTTCCGATTACCACAAGCTGGAATGACTTCCTGTGGCGCTCTGTGGTGGAACAAGATTGTTGCTCCTCTTCATGACTTTTGCACAAGGCTTCATTGTACGATGGGCAGATAGATGGGACACCTCTTTGCAAGGCTGTATATAAATATATATATATATATTTAAATCATTTATATATGTCTTCTAGGCCTTCTAATGTTTGCCATCACCCACATCCTCTACTCATCTGCCTTCGGGATGAGACCTGTGAACGTACATGCTGGCCTCGTGATCACTGCTGTGTCCTCTCTGAGCTACATGCTGCTGTACCCCTACCTGTCTGGCCCCTTCACCTACCTCGTGGCCGTCTACATCGCTCTGATCGGCTTCATGGGCTGGAGGGCCATCGCCGGCCTGCAGCTGGCCAACGACCTGTGGACCTGGACCAAGCTGTCCGCCTGCCTCGGCGCCATGCTCTTCATGGTCTCTGACCTCACCATTGCTGTCAACAAGTTCTGCTTCCCCGTGCCGCATTCGCGCGCCATCATCATGGCCACGTATTACGCCGCGCAGATGCTGATAGCGCTATCGGCCGTCGAGTGCCAGGACGCGGAGGTTGCCAGGAAGAGAACGTGAGGTACATCGGTCTCGGGCAGATACCGGCCACGGGGCTGGAAAGCTGGCAGCCAATCCCCCTCAAGCCCTGAGTGATCATGGACACATCTCACTGCCAGATCCCCAACCCTCAGCCCTCATCTCAGTGTGGCGCTCCCACATCGGTGTTACCACGGCGACTGGACCACTACAGCCTTCACATGGCTATCACCCTACTACTCTTCTAGTATATTAGTCTCAGCCTGTCTTCTCACAAGAAGATTGGGTAGTTTTATCTTCGGCCTCTCCCGACAACAGTCCTACCTGCTTCCTCCTACTGTAGATTAGCTGTCTCTCAAAACTAGTTACCACGGAGACTAGTGTAGTTATATTAACCTGCTATATATAGAGTATAACTTTACTTTTAACTGTTTTAATTTAAGGGGAGCATGTCACTGGGGACCTCCAAGGTATGTGAGAGAGTGATTTTATGTGTGTGTGTGTGTGCGTGTGCGTGTAAGTGTGTGTGTGTATGCGTAAGTGTGTGTGTGTATGTGTGTGCGTGTGCGTGTAAGTGTGTGTGTGTGTGCGTGTGTGTGTGTGTGTGTGCTTGTGCATATATATGTGTTTGATTAACACTTTTACCTCGCTTTCCACACAGCCCTATCACACACACACTCATTTATTACACATGGTCCAATAATGCAACATCTTAACATCTTAATTTTGTTAATTTTGTTTTGATGCCTGAGACGTTATGAGAAAGGGATTTTTTATTTATGTTTTAACCGATACTGCCCATGTTCAGCCTCTGTTGTGTTTCCCTAAATGAAGGGTGCTATTCTTAAAGTCAGGAGCATATCCACACCTGTTTTATTACCTGCAGTCACTTCTCTAGAAATGCAGCATCCACTGCGTATTGTAGCTTTGGTGCAGGTTGGATGAGGTGGAGGTTGTTTGTGGAAGCTCGATTCTTTTTTTTTTAATTGACACTGTAAACAACCAACCACTGAACACATTGTACGCTTCCCCTGCTTCTCCTCGTGGTGTGAAGTCTCTCAGGCATTTTACAGTCTTTTGCCCGCCAGCAGTTGTGTCCACACGCCTGACACCTACAGCTCCTGCTGGTTTACTTATTGGAAAAGTTCACGGGGTTCTCACTGCAGAACGAGTCCAGCCGAGCCGTGTTGTCATTGGCCTTGACCATATTATTGAGAGTGAAACAAAAGGGCTACATTACAGGCTGGATTCTTGTTTGTTTATCAAACCTGCATGTCTGTTTCCCAGCATGCATTCACCCTCTCACAATGACAGACAAACATACACGTTGCCTCGGGTTCAGCCTGACGGAAAGAAGAAAGAGGTTCTTGTCATGTGAGGGAATAGTTATCCTATTATTCCTAATAATTCTGTCTCACTGGGCACTTCATCAACTTTAATCCAGCGAAATCCACCTCAGGTAATCCCCCCCGACAGCCTGGCTTATAATATTTTCTTTCATCTCCCACACATTTTCCCCTCTCTCAGCTTTCCTTCATTTCAAACATTTTCAGTTTGAATGAATTGCTTAATTAATATTTAAACATTTACCGTTACTCTTTCTTCAGACATCTACATATTGTATATGCGTGTTTTGAGTGTGCATGTGTGTGTAAGTGTGTGTCTGTGACCTCTGTCTTAGCTGTTCACTGAGCGTCTGTGTGTATTTTACGACCAGTCAAAACCAACTCAAGGCCAGAAAGGCTGTGAAGCATTATAGTTTGTATGGAGTACACATACTACTAGATATCATCAGTGTATTCTCTTCACACCCATCACCCCTTCATGTGTTTTTAACTTCTATATCTATTTTTCATATTTCATTTTAGCTAAGTATTGCTCCCTCTTATGAGTTTATACCACTATCAGATTAATACCAAGAAAGTCATATTCCAAATGCACTGTAGCAATTTAAAGTATTACTCACTAACCAAAAAATAACAAATTGACAAGATTTGTTGTGTAATGTATAGGTCCAAATGCACCTATACACGTTGTATATTGTGCCGTATATGGAACACACGAGCACGAAGAAGAAGCTGAGTCATGGTATTTGGTTCCTTCTGAAGGGTCAAAGGCCCCAGGAGCCATTGCTAACACACCGGCATATGCATAAAAGAAAAAAACATACACACATCAAGATGTATATCTGCATCACGTCAGCCACCATGACTGCAGGCAGATCATGGTGTTGACTAGCATACTTTTTTTCCCCCCTAAGCAACATGGTATTAGTTTCACTGAGAAAGACACAGACGTCATGGTTATTGTCATCTGCTGCTTTGCCACACAGTTCCTCAATCTCCTCTCGGCATTTCTGCTGTGTCAGTCAGAGGTGTTACACCAGTCCGTCTGTGTGTGACGGCTGGTCTTCTGTTCCGTGTTTTAATTTGACCTCTCAGCACTGCGGTAAAGCAATAATAGTAATAACAACTTTATTTTTATTGCACTTATCTAAATAAGGTTACAAATAAGTGCTTTATAAAAATCCTTGGCAAATAAATGAATTAACTAAATTCTACTATTCAATTCAGTCCAGTTTTTATCATCAAATTATAACGTAATAAGGTCAAGATCTTAAAATGTATAGAGAAAGTCAACAGTTCCCACGATGAGCGAGCACTTTGGTTGTGGAGAGAAAAAACTCTCTCCAATACTGCAGCTCTTGCCCAATTCTCATCTAATGCACTTTATCGGCAGAAATGAGATCTATCAACATTTTTTTCAAACCTCTAAAAAAACCACGAGGGGATGAGGAGACTGAGTGGAGCAGTCGGACTTGTCCTTACTATGTGGCACTTCTGTCTTTGTCCTCTGCCACATAAAGCCTCCTGAGTTTTGTTCCTGTGGTCGAGTAGCTACGAGCCAGAAAAAAGGCTTAACATTGAAGTATTACCGAGACTATTTTTACCGACCAATCCACACTTCGGAAAATCTCCATGACTCTGTGAAGTGAAGTTGCTGTTCTGAGGGCGATGGATGAGTGGTAGCTCGTAAAGCTAGAGGCAAACTCAAATACCAAGTTGAGCCAGATGATTATTATGCCGAGGTGGAAGATTTGGTTTTAAATCCACTCTGTTTCTCCTCCAATTGTTTCTATTCTTATCTGACTTGGGGCACAGCCACCAAAGCGGAGAGCATAAGAGAAAACCTAACTCATTTCACTGAGTGGAGCTGTAAGTGTTAGAGCCCTCTCGTGTATCAAACAAGCTTTTGTTTTGCAGCAGGCAAAGGTCCCCTCTCGTTGATGCTGGAGGGTTTTTGGCCCTTCACTCAGGAAGGAGGTTATTGTTGAGCGATACTGTAGCTGGAATTAGGTGAGGAGGTGAAATATGACACACGGGAAGACTCCCTTTCCATCCGGCCCACTAGCCCCCCTGCCCCCATCCCCACACAGATGGCAGGCCAACAGGCGCATCACTTTACCTCCGCCTGTCAACAGCCCCGTTGTTCTGAGCTTTGTTCATGCAGACAAAAGAGGACCTGAAAGAGCTGCGGGTGGGGTGGTACGCTGTGGCCTGTGCAGGAAGTGATGAGCCGGAACCAGTGGTTTCACCCGGTCCTCTTAAGAAGTTGATTTAAAGCAACGCAACGTGACTTTTGACTGATGAAACAGATTGTCTGAGCGATGAAGTGTTTTTTTATAGAGAGAAAAAACAAAGCCCATCAATCTCCCTTGTACTTAACTGAAACACAGCTCAACGCTGGGTATTCCTCATGATCCTCGAGCTGCTGCTGTAACAAACCCACCCTGCTCTGTTCAGAACTTATGATATTTTTAAAGGTTCCTTCCTGAACATTGGCGACAAAAGTCTTTTTGACTGATCTACAGTTCAGCGTCACCTGTGAGCTAGCTGGTTCTGATAACTCAAGCTGCGACTATCAGTCACTTCCACACTTCTCACAGGAGATCGTACCCACAGTTACCTAGAGCGGACGTTCAGGGTGAGGAGTGAACGGAAGCGTCTCTATTCTCCCTATTCCAAATCTGTGAAACCTAAAATTAATATTGGAGCTGCTATTTCAGCATAAAAGAAAAGTTGCTTAGTGTTGCTTTCATGTTTTCTCTCTGTCTTTGAGATCTTTCATTTGAAATCTTTGCTGTTTCCGTATCTTGTAGCTAACGACATTCAAAATATAGAGCTGAAAGGTTTCTACATCTTTACTATGCATGTCTCATCTGGAGTGATGGACACGTGCACACTGCACACCCAGGTGTTTTTATTACCACGACTGACAGTCCACCAACATCAGTATGAGCTCATGAGAAGTGTGTCAAATAATTATCTTCTCTTTGTGATATTAATCTGAATCTCCTGTGCGCTGCACAGAACCCCGAGTGAGGCCAGTCAATTTTTCCTTAAAACTTGCAGCTAGTATGATTGTTAAGTACTGTATTCTTTCAAGTATACACCCATCTTTCCTTTGTTCTGTTTTCAAGAGATAAAACAGAAGAGACGTTTTTATGTTGACGGTTTAAGCACAAGAAAGTGTCGCATTAAGGCATGTGAGACTCAGCGTTTGTCTTTAAGAGGCATGAATTGCTGTTTAAGTGTTACAAAAAGAAGTGTTATTATTTAATTTGAAGAAAAGAAGCCCATTTGGTTTTTTTAGCCTGACGCTGTGAGAAAAGCTTGGGTTTGTTTTTCACAAATAACTTTATTATTTTTGTTCCCATTGAAAGCCCATTAAAATGCATCATTTGACTTCATTTCATGAAAAAAAGATTAAGTTCTCTGATATATTTTACATTGTTGTCCTCTATTTTCACTTTGTGATTTATTTCCTTCATGATTGTGGAAATGAAATAGTTTCTTTGCTGTAGTGAAACTGCTCTGAATGTGAATATCTATTGGAGAAATAAATGCAATTGCAATGCAAATTCAGAATATTGTGCCGTAGTCTTTTTTTTTTTAATGTCATCTGTGTTTGTCTGTTGCTAAGTAGAACAACACAAAAACTACTGAACATGTTAAGGAAGGATGTGGTGCGTGAAAATGAAGAACCCAATAAAGGTTTCTGTGGATCCGCATTTTTCAACATTTTGAATTCTCAGAGAATACTTCATCTGATCTCGATGTAAAACAATCACGCTTGTTCATTTATGACTGCGTGGAACAGATCCAAATAAAAAGAAACCCAACATCTCACGAGGCGGCTGTTGAGCCTCGGCGGAGGTTTGTGCTCTCTGAGTGCCCCTCTGGTTTGTTTTTGCTTTTTCACGAGAACAAAAAGATGTCACGGTAAAAATGTCAGCTGCTTTTTAGAGCTGTTTGGTGTTTTGTGTGTCTACAGAAGCTGTTGGCCCTCAGCAGCTAAAGAGCCATTAAGGCAGAAAGAGCTGGAGGACAACAGAGAGCTCTGTTCTGGTAACTGCTGAACTCTATTGTCGGGCAGAGGTGGAAAATGTGCTTTCAACAGCCTTTAACTGTGGAAACTCATTCACACTGGTACACGTGAAGCCCTCGCTCTTCCCTTCTCTACCTTTTCCTTATCTCCCATCTGACACACACACACACTAGATTATTCCTGTAGGATCTGTGCCAGTTCTCCCCCAGTGTGTTTCTTTCACTCGCAGCCAGGGTCCTACCATGAAAGAACTCCAGTCTTTCCGAAATCTCATAAAATGATGCAGAATATCCGAGTAAATGTGGAAGAAAGGAAAGAAGAGAAAGCTCCACATAATTTCTATGTTCAGGTTATGTATTGGAAAACCTTTAAATAGCTTTTCATCCAGAGGTTTAGTCATTTAAATGTTTCTAAGTAAAACGTCACGGAAACTGACCAGCAGTGTTCAGTTCCCTTTTGGTGCAGCAGTCTTTAGTTTCTGTTAAATGATTATTCAAGCCGTCACTACAAACCACTTCCACCTTATTGTGCGTTAGTTGAGCGGTGAGGATGCAGAAGGTGCCAGTGACGTGGGTTCTGTGCCTGTTGCTGCTTCATAGATTTGAACCTGGCACAGTCTGATGGTGGCTCTTTACAAATGGAGTTTGTGGGAGCCAGCACAGTAACGTCAGGATGGAGAGGGGTCGTCACCTCGCTCCCTGTCTGTTTGGCAGCTCCTCACCGGACCACACTCAACGCTCTGGTGAAGCAGCAGACCACTTAGAGGCAAAGTCTGGACAGGAAGCCATCGCGAACTGCAGTCGGGAAGTATTAGGTCACTTTTTATTTGGGATTTAGTAAGGTTTAAATGGACGTTAGGATTCAAAAGTTCAAATAAAATCCGTTTTTAAAGCATTTTGGATGATGTGTCTTTGTCCTTTTTAGACAAATAATCTCCCAATTTCAGACACAATTTAGTCCAACTGAGTAAAAAGCCCCAGAAACAAGCAAGAATGGAAAATGGCTCCTGTACAGAACTGGCAAACTGTCAGTATGGAGCTGTAAATGTCAGATTTTAAAGGATTTGCAACCAAATATTGATTAGATTGGCTTTTTAATATCTTTTCCAGAATGAAAATCTACTCCCAAAAAGAGCCCCAGCCCCTGATAACCCCTGATCACCTCTTGGTTTAATTTCAAGGTGGAAATAATTCCCTTCTTTGTTTGAGATACATTCACAGTAGAAAACACCGGGAAACGTGAGAAGAGGATGACTTCTGATAAAAGGGACTGACTGGATTCAAGCCCAGGACACTGAAATTATTATGAAGATTCACAAAGTGGCCACAAAGAGTCTCAAGAGACATTTGGCAGCAATCCCCCATCAGACAGTTTGAATGTGGACTCTTGAATTTGATTATTAGTTTTGTTTTGAACTCCAAGAAGAGACCCCTCTACTTAAGTGACACAGCATGTGGCCTTGTACAGGAAGTCCAGTGAAATTAGTCAAGTTCTGAGGAAATGACAAGAAAATAAAAATTTCTTTACAGAGAGAGAAAACATCAGTGACTGTGAGAGAAACAACAACTTTACTGTAATGAAACCAAACATCTGCCTGAAGAGTCAGAGACCTTCTACACAAAGCTGAGAACAAGTCTGGCCTCTAGTGGACATTTCATACATTGTCACCACCCGAGGAATGAGCAAAGGCAAATTACAAACAAGAAAAAATATTCATTTTCTGGAATTCAAGTAAATTTAAAAAAATGTGTGATGTCCAAAAACTCTTAAATTGTTGTTAGTGGCAACAGCACATGCAGTTAAGTGTCCGTAACCAATCAAAGTGCATGTGTCATTGTAACAGTAGAAGCAGACTTCTCAGAAAATAAGCTTCTCTTTGTTTGCCTGGCGGGTCAGGCTCTCCAGCAGACCCATGTCATCCTTATCTGGAAGACACGATGACATGATAAAGAATTTGTGCAACAAAAAGAATGACTTTTTTTATAGCTTTTCTGTGTATCCCCCCCCCCCCTCCTCCTTCCCTGAAAACCTACCAAAGATCACCAGGTTGCAGGAGCACTTGGTCGTCCCCAGACTGTTCTCCAGCACCAGTGTGTATCTTCCGCCATCTTTGGCTCCACAGGTGGGAATGACCAGGGTGCAAACTCCGTTGGCCGTGCTGTGCCAGAACCGAGGGGAGTCTGAGATCTTTGATTCCCCTTTATACCAGCAAGCCTGTGCAGGGAAACCACCCCAACATTATAAATACTTTTGGGGCATAGGAGAGTTCAGATGCTCAGATGTGTCCTTCAAACCTGTGGCGTTGGCCAGCCCTGGTAGGCACAGCTCATGGTGCAGTCGTACCCTCTGCGAACAGCGTGGTCCTTGAGTGGCAGCAGGAAAGTGGGCTTCACCTGACGTGATCGTGAGGCATACTCTCTCAAACGGAGACCGCTGATGCACTCTTAGAAAAAAATACAAACAACAGACATATGCAAAATGTACTGTAGTAATTCTAATCATTTTTAATCTATAATGTGGAAATCAAATGTCTGCTCACTCACCCTTTTCTTTGGCAATGATAAGAGGTTCTTTCGAGTCCAACGGGTCGCTGTCGCCAATTGAGTTTTGTGCGATGACCCTGAAGTAGTACTTCCTCCCGGGGAGCAACCCGGTGACAGTGTACTTGCTGCTGAAAACACGCTCGGCCACAGTGAACCAGGAGGGGATGCTGAAGTCTCGTTTGAGGATGACATAATGCGCTCCCTCGTTGTTGTCAGACAGGTCTGCAGAGTGATCCCACTGCAGGGTCACCGTGCCCGGGACCTCCTCCTCCATGCGGAGGTTCTTTGGTGGTTGAGGATAGTCTGAAGAAAGTAGGTGAGGACGGAGGTTCAGGGAAGTTTCCACAAAGCCATCAAAGCAGAAATATAAATAAATCCCAGTTCCATGATTAGCTTAATGGCAAAATCCAGTAAAGGAATAAACAATCAAGCCTCCATCACTTACCTGTAATCCTCACATTAACATCATAGTGAGCCTCTCCATAGTCGTTCTTCAGGTAGACACGGTAGACACCAGAGTCAGATCGCTGAGAGGAGGAAATGAGGAACTGGGAGTTACTCTTGCTCTTGGTGATGACCTCCTTTCCTGCGGTGAGGACGCCATCCTTGAGCCACGTTACCACCGGGGCAGGAGAGGCCTGTGAGGGTGAAGAAGACGGTGAGAATGATGGGACTTCTGTGGAGTTCATGCCTGTCTGGTGACTCAAAGGACTGTTATTGCTAAAGTCTGAGTTAAACGTCAGAGACTCACAGTGAAGCTGAGCTGAAGGCAAAGTGTCGTTCCAGCTCGGACCACCATCTGGTTCTTCAGCTTTCCCTGGAGGTCAAACCTGGGCGGCACTGAATATGAAAGAGTAAAAGAATTCAAATTTAATCAGTGAGTCTAAGCAAACAGAACGTGTTGACTGTGACCTCTGACCACCAAATTTTAATCAGAGCATCTGGGAGTCTATTGTTAATGTTTGAAACTCATTTCAAGACATTTTCTCCAGTTGTTCCTGAAATATTGTGTTCACAAGGCAAAATATGTGTTTTTGTGAGACCAGATTACCGGGTGGAGGCATGGCCAATACACCTTCCACCAGCTCGATGGTCTCTCCCAACCCTCCTTCGTTGACAGCACGGATACGCAAGTGGTACTTCATCCGCTCCTGAAGTCCTCCGACGGTGAAGGCAGTGCCAGCGATGGGAATCTTAGTGGCTTTCGTCCACTCTTTAGCATCTTCGGGACGCACCTCCAGAATGTAGCCCGAGGGTTCGTCTCCGTCGTCCGGAGGAGTCCACCTCAGAGAAATGGAGGAGTTTGTGGAGTCAGTCACGCACAGGTTCCTCACCAGGCCGGGGGCACCTAGCAGGAGGAGAGACGGACATTAATTACATAAGAGGGCAGCAGGGAACCAAAATGGAGGAGGGGGCGGAGGACTCACGTATTGGGTCTTTGGCAAGTACGGCATTAGAGACGGTGCTGGGACAACCCGCTCCTGCCCTGTTCACACTGATGACTCTGAATTCATACTCAACATCGTCCACCAGTCCGTCCACCAGGAATTTAGTATCTGCACAGAATGATATAGGCACATATGAGCACAGAGAACTGTGTAATCACTATTTGGAATTAAATGTGGGTTTGATGCATAGAGCATAATTTGTTTTAATAGATGTTACAACCTTTCATCCTCATGCAGGATTGTCTACGTTAAAGATGTGTGACCACAGCCTATCCATCTAAACATGATAGCTTGATAAGCGTGGCAGAGTCTGACCTGTGAGCAGCTCCTTGTTCACCTGCAGCCACATGTTGCTGCCTTTCTTCCTCCTCTCCAGGATGTATCCCTCAACTGCTGCTCCTCCGTCATGAGCCGGAGGAGTCCAGCTCACCGTCATGGTGCTCTTCGTGACGTTAGAAACTTGAGGCTGGGACGCTGTGCCTGGAGGCTCTGGGTGTTCACGACGGGTCGAGTGCAAAAGAATGTAAGTTGGAAAGTTACGCATTATTATCAATTATTGTTATTTAAAAGTAAAATGAAACTTTGAAACTTTATTCTAATTTTCTTGGCTGATGATAATCAGGAGGTGAATGATGATGATTACTCAAGTCTCGCCTCTGGACCTCTGGAAGAACTTCTCTGAAACTCTCTTTACACTTATCACTAAATTTGAATGATTTGATGACGGCATTGATAATGATGGTTATTAATCTCACCTATGGGCTCTCCGGCACGCACCTCCTCTGTCTCCAGAGGTTCACTCATTCCCTCGGCGTTCACGGCTCTGATGCGATACTGGTACAGCCGTCCCTCCTCCACCTTGTCATCAGTGAACACCGTGGTGCTGCTGTCCACCTCTCCAGCTCTTGCCCACGACTTCTTACCTTCCACTCGTCGCTCGATCACAAAACTGGTCACCTGCTTACCCCCATTGTCCCGGGGAACCTTCCACCTCATTCTGATGCACCTTCTTGACAGCTCCAGGAACTCCACGTTCCCTTGAGGAGGCTTTGGGCGGTCTGGAGAATGTGGTATAACATGTATTATAGATTTGCGTCCATGAAACGTCTTCAGCTTTTTCTTTCCACAGTTGTGTTTTCACCACAGTCTATGGTTTTCACTCACCAATCACATTCAGATACATGTTGGCGACAGCAGTGCCGCAGTCGCTCTTCAGACGGAGCATGATTGCACCGCTGTCTTCACGCGCACATCTGGCAGAAAGTTAAAGTAAGAAGAAACATTCAGAAATCTGTGTCTGTATTTTTCAGTAGTTTGAGCTTAAAGGGATAGTTCACGCAAACATTTTAATTCACTCATTCTCTCTTCAACACTGTGGAGTTTCAGGGGTAAACAGCGGAAAACCAACAGAAATAAATGACGTAAAATGACGCTGTTTCCAGTCAAATTTGAATGTCAGGTTTTTTTCTCCATTTGAAGAAGTGGTCACCAGTGACTTCAACTGAACCGGATTTGGCTGCACTACACTGTTTACCCCTGAAAGTTTAGTGGACTCAAACTTCCTCCATAGCGGTGAGAAGGTAATGAGTGAATTTTCATTTTTGGGTGAACCATCCCTTTAATCTGCTCACCCACCTGCTGAGCAGCAGGGACGTGCTGTTTGCTGTCCTCTCCACCTTCGTTCTCTCATCCTCCAGGACTTCCACTCCATCTCTGTACCAGGTGACCTTTGGCAGCGGTTTGCCTCTGAAGGGGATTTTAATGGCGGCTGTCTGACCCGCCTTCACGGTCACGGGTTGCGCCCCCAACAAGTCCAGGACAGAGGAATCAATCTCTGGAGGGTCTAGGTAACAAAGTTCATTTATTTGATTCAATTTCCACATTTTAGTTTGGTCTTGATGAGAGCTGGACTGCTATGAATTTTGCAGATGCCTAGATAGACATTAGGAAGTAAAATAATTATATTCTACATATTTCATAATATGTCATTATAAAACCCTTATGACAAAGAAGTGTTACTGAGTCTTGACATTTCACAGAATTACCGACATAAAACATCAAGTATAAACATAAATGTTGCATTGTTTAATCTGTAAAATAAAATGTTTAATATCGGCAAACATAAACACAAGTCTGTGAAATCCAGCGTATATTCCGCCAACAAATAGCAAACAAAATGTATTATTATTATTACTACTATTATTATAAGTAGAAGTGGTAGTAGTAGTAGTAGTAGAAGTAGTAGTATTAAATCAGTCAGGCTGTGGTTTAATTCATTTTGGGTAAAAGTTTGGTAGCTCCAGTACGACTCTGGCGACCCCTAGTGGTAGTATCAAAAAATACACTGTCAAACAGAACCACAAACACCATTAAACTGACCTGATTTACATATCCACATGATTTACACTCCACTCCACTCGAACACACACTCAAATGTAAAAACACAAACCCTGACCTGCAATGGTGAGCACAGCCTCACTCTCCGCCCCCTTGGCTCTGAAGGTGTACTTGCCCTCGTGGCCATGAGTCACACCAGAGAAGAGCAGCTTGTGGACGGCTCCTTGTTTGACCACCTTAACCCCGCTCAGCTCTGAGATCTGTCGAAACACAACCCTGGATTTTATTATGTGGCGACAAAACAAAACGAAATGGGCTGATGGAAGTGTTGAGTTCAGTTTTTTATATTCACTGAAAAACACACTTGAAGCAAATTCATAGCAATTGACAGAAGAATTGTGCGTTTGAGGACTTCATCATTTTCACCCTCTTCTAATATGACCTCTGACCTCCACTCCATCCTTCAGCCACACCCCGTCCACCTTCTCATCATCGAGGACCACACACAGCTCGACGGGGGCCCCGGTGGGACACTGAACATCTGACAAACCGCTCTTCACCGAGGCAAAGCGCTCTGGTGACACACAAACAAAAGGAGAACAGCTTGATTACGTTAACAGTCAGGTGTGCTGCAGTGAAGCGTAGCTACAGACAGACGGGACACGGATCGTTACCGTCCACGGTTAAATTGGCAGAGGTGACATATTCCTGCGTGTCGTTGTCCTGCGTGCAGACGACAGAGTACTCGCCGCTGTCCGTCAGCTCGCAGTCCTCGATGATGACCTCTGCCCTTTTCCCCTCCCGCAGGACGATGTACCGGCGGTTGGCTGTGATGTCGCAGCCGTCCTTCAGCCAGCGGACATGCACGTCCTTGGAGCTCATCTTGCACTCCAGGTGGGCCTTGCCCCTCTCCTGCACCCGGACGTTCTTCAAGTAGCTGGAGAACTTGACGGGAATCCCTGGAGAGAGAAGAAAAAGAAAAAGACGAAGGGTAAAGAGAAGAGAGTCGCTGGAGGCCTTTATCGCACGCTCACAATGATGTGTTTTTGAAACGTAGGATTAGGTTATAGAATCGTTCATCGTATATTTATACTTAAAGAATAATAACGATACCTTCACAAGGACACGTGTCATTACAACCTCAGTGACTATACGTCTGTGTTCCTGCAGCCGCAGAGGAGAGTCACGTGTCCTTGTGAGGAGTTTACATGCCCCAGCATGCACCTTGGGCAAGTAAACATCTTGTTAGACAGAGCCATAATAAATGAGCTTGTTGTGAGGAGGGATTTGGTTGGATTACTTTCAACTCGGCACTCGGAGGGAGGATTTATTATGCTACCCATACGTCTTCATTTGGAAGATAGAGAGATGATGTTGTTTAGCGCAGCTATGAGAGAACCAAGCCTCTAATCTCACGGGAGGCAGTAACTGCTCATCTCCACCCAGTCTGACAGGGGGGGAGTTTGTTTCCGTAGAAACGCGATGAGCTCCACTAAAAAAAGAAGATGCGGCTGCTCTGGGACAAACAAAACAAAGCATAACAACACAAAAGCACTCATAAAAAGTTTTTAAACCCATACGTTCGATAAAAAGCGGCACGGTGGCAGCGAGGTCTCCAATGCTGATGGTGTAGTCTCCTGTGTCGCTGACTTTGACGTCCTTAATCTTCAAGGTGTAGGTCAGACCGTCCTCAGACAAGGACACTTCAAACTTTTCATCTCTTTTTACTTCCTTTTCTTTTACCTGGTGGGAAAAACACAAGCACTTGTGGGAAAACTCTTTCTTTGGAATCGTGTTCTGCCCTGAAACTCATCTTTTCACTGAATGTTGTCAGTACTTTTTTTTTACCACTCATCTCAGTAACCCTCTGAAGATGCCAAACACTCTTAGAAATGTTCCTAGAAATTATTTTTTTTGCAATCTCCCCCGAGACAGGATTTTATCTGCTGCTGTAAAATTGAAACAAAGTCCTACAATGTGTCTTTCTGAGTCGGATACAAACCGTCCAGATGAGCGGTGCATCCGTCTTCTTGGAGAGACGGACCTCAAACACGGCAGTCTGCCGCTCCGTCACGTTCATTGGTTTGAAGTCGGACATAAATTTCAGAGGCTCATCTGAAAGAAAGACGGCAGAGAAAAAAAAAGGCTTTGTTATAATAATATATACTCAGTCATGTAAACACCTCACAGGATTCAAAGCCAAATATCTGCATCTGTGATGTCAGGCAGAAAACATGTTGGAGCTTTGATTTGTGGGTGTTCAGAGAAAAATAAGACAGCTCCTCATTCTGTCTATTTGTGCTCTGTGGATGAACGGAGAGATGACAAGAGGGACAAATAACTGACAACAAAGGGAGGTGATAAAAGTGTAAAAGCAAAAAGAAATCTCACGTAGAAATGCAGTTCACTATGCTGGTAGAACAATTCGAGCCAGACCGATTTATTATTTAAAATCCAGTCAGTTTTATTGACCTGGTGGTAAATTTGTGCTTCAGTTTGCCAGTGTCTTTTATAATCCTACCACTAGAGATCGCCAGACATTTTATTCTTTGGGGCTTTAGTGGAGCCACAAAACTTATACCAAAAATAATCGACCGATTTATTCGTTGCACGATAAAATCAGCCGATATGAGCCTTTCACGGAGATATCATGTTTACCAACATGAACCCATGTGAAAACGTTAATAACCAGAATATTAAAAGCAAAACATGTGGATTTAGATTCACCAATTAAATTTCAAAATATGTTTATTTGCTTGATTCAAGTTTTATATATTTTGTTTGTATTTGTGTTTTTATTTTGTGTATTGTTATTTCTAGTACCCTGTCCCCAATGTCAGCTGGGACTGACTCCTTGTCCCCTGTGATGGTCAAACAGATGAGCTGTTTATCAACTGCATGAATGGATAGTTAATCAGGTGATATATCAAACTGTCCACCACCTGGCTCAGGTGTTGAGAAATGGAAATAGTGAGGAACCCCATGTATGAGACCAGTGAAAGTGACACACAGAGTAGGTCAATGCCATCGAAGGTGACACTGTCTCTCTAAGTTACGGGCAGAGGGAAGGACTGGAGTCCCGCTCCGCACTTGCCTATGACGTTAAGCCGGGCCGACAGCGTCTTGTCTCCGACCTGCAGCGTGTAGGTGCCCATGTCACTGAGGCCCACGCTGGAAATGCACAGCATGTGCTTGGTACCCATCTGTTTCACTTCGTATTTCCCATGAGAGTACTGGATCCGCAGCAGCTCCGTGCCCTGAGACATGAAGAAAAACAGCTCAGCGAGGGGGAATGGTAAATGACGGCTGTTATATTTAAAGTGCTTTCCACTTAACTTTACATTACAGGACTCGTTCACCCATTCACACTTATACTCATGCAACTAATGACTTAGCCAACAGAAGCAATCTGGGGTTCAGTATCTTGCTCACCGACACTCTGGGACTGCCACTCCTGCACTTTTATTCTTTTTTTAAATTAAATTAGTAAATTAGTTTCTTTAATTACTTACAATATGTTCTCTTATATGAATTACATGTTTGAATTCGTATTAACATGTTTTGATTTGTGTTGAGCTGCTATTCTCGTTGGAAAGGTGCTATACAAATAAAGTGGGCCTCCTGGAAGAACTGGGGATTGAACCACCGACGCTGCTGTTTATGGACAACAGAGAGAATACAGCAAGAGATTACCAGAAACCACAGCATCCTCATGTTTGGATCCTTCAGCTCCAAGATGGTGTCAAAGACGACGTTGGTGTCAGGTTTGGCGGTGACGTCCTCCAGGGGCTTTAACACGCGCACCATCTGGTAAAATATCAAAGGATCAAACATTACACATACACATAAACAAACCACAAAAATGACAACATGACACTGCAAAGCATTTCCCATCGTCGCTTGTGTGTTGTTATATGATTTATCTTCGGCGCCGTTCCGGTGTTGTGGGATATTTCCCTTTTTTTTCTCCGTCTTACTTTATTCTAAGCTGCTTTTACATTTCATACGCCAGCCTAATATAATTCTGTGGTATGTGAACACACTCTCTGTGTGACAGGCCCACCTCCACCTCGTCTTTCTTCTTCATCTCCTTCAGCTTCTTAAGAATGCCTCTGAAGTCGGTGAAGCCGTACTCGGCGCAGATCCGCTCGTAGTCCTTCTTGTCAGCTCCAGCCAGGATCTTTAACATCTCCTCCTCTGTGGGCGGCTTCTTCTCCTGTCTCTTCTTCTCACTGCTGCACAGGGAGAAAAGACCTCAGATTAGGAATATGTGTGTGTTTACATTAGATGGGCCTGCATGTATGACAGTGTGTATATATATATGTGTGTGTGTGTATGTGTGGTGACAGCACTTTAAATCTCGTCCTGTGGATATTTCTGGATGCATGCGAGAAACAAAGAAGGATCTGAGGGTGCATCAGAGAGCGCTCCATCACATCTTGACAGCTTTTTGCAAGTGTCATGGTTAGTGTCAGACAACGGGCCTGTGTTCCTACCGTTTCTTCAGCATCTTTTTGAAATCCAACGCTGGATCTGGAAGCAAAGACGGAGAAACTTTCATCTGTGACACCGTGTGAAAACAGCACGTAAACTGAGCCGAGAGCTTCCAAGTAACTATCAGGACCACAAAGGCTCAAACAAAATATCATATGTGAAATGAATCCACTCACTTTCTGCAACGATGAGGGATGCGGAGTAAATGGCTTCTCCGTGCTCGTTGGATGCGACGCACCTGTAGACGTCAGCATCCTCCAGGGCCAAGTTTTTGATCTGAAGTGGAGGAAGCACACGATAAGGAGGCATAGACATCAAATTAAATGTCTGGCTCGATGTTTCCCATTAGACCATTTAAACCTGTCAGTCCATTGTAAGGCCACGCACACAATCCCACTGCAGTGCTTGTTTGAAGCAAAGGGAGGCAGTGTCACACTGCCACAGCGCCGCATCCGAACAGTCATCCCTCACCAGAGAAGCAGATGGCAAGGCGAGATGCATATGTCAGCACCCACAAGTTAATTGCTTTATAATAGCTATTTAAGCTTCACTTAAGCTCCCCGGCTGGTACAGAGAAAGCGCTAAACCCACTCCAGAGTGGATATAGATAAAAGGATCAGAGAGAGTTTTTTTCTTCTTCTTTCTATCTACTTTTCCTCATGATGCATGTTGAGCTGTCGGAGTCGACAACACGCAGATGTCAGAGTCCCTCCACTGCCTGTCCTCCCTCTGCAGGAGTCTGTCATGAGCACATTTACCTTCTCAACCAAACCACGAATGTGACATGGGAAATGAATTTAGATCTGAATGCAGGTGCAGATACTGGTGCTTCAGTCACACGCGACAGGTTTGGGAACAATGATGGCATCTGTGTAAAGATGTGATGGATGCGTTTGTTTGTTTGATAGTAAGCAGCAAAAACTACTCAACAGATTACCATGAGATTCTGTGGAGGGGTGGAGCAGGATCAGCCTGTTTGCAGTCTTCTATCAAGTCCTCACTACACAACCACACTACAGGAACCAAGTTCAGATATATCCACATTTTACAATACGTTTTCCCTGCGAGTTGCAGATGCAATACAAGTAAAGATAATTCATTTTTATAGCATTTTGTGACTGAAATAATTAGCCACTAGACAGTTTTATCAAAAATCACAATGAAGGTTCCACCTCTTGATCAACAGTATCTCACTGAAACTTTAAAAGACCTCAACTCAAGCTTGAGATTTAAGAAAACAATCGTCCTGGTGCCAAAATGACTTTTCTTTGTTATCGTTTCCAAAAGCAGAAACTGTCAGTGAGGAACATCATGATCTGTGTGTGTGTGTGTCTGTTGTCAAACCTTGAGTAAATACTGATTGTTGATGTTGTCACAGAAAGATTTCGTCCCGTCAGACAGGGGACTCCCGCTGGCTCGCTCCCAGGTCACACTGGGCTGAGGACTCCCCGTCACTTTGGCCCTGAACATGGCACTGTCCCCTGTGAACCACACGGAAACCAACCACCAGAATGCACATCATGAGAATCATCTGCTGAATACCAAGTGTTTCTTATAAAGAAATTGCTTTTTGAAATCATACCGGAGCAACGAGGATGAATGTTTAATGTTTAATCATCAGATCAATTGACTCTCTCTCTCTCTCTCTCTCTCTCTCTCTTGCCTTTTCCTGTTTTCCTTCTGAGTCCAGTGGGCTGAAGCTCAGCCTGTGAATACTAATGCGGCGGCTACTCTGCAGCGTTCCGCAAATTGTGACAGGCTGTCTCCTACAAGCCTCTTAATCTATAATTCACAGGTAGAGCCGAGGTGAATAAGGCTCGAGAACCTGTAGTTTGTACAGAACAGCCTCTTGTATTCAACAGCAGCCGCAGCTGGTTTCCCTCTGTGGAGGTCAAGAGCATCACACAAACTCTATTAAAGTGTCTTTGTGCTGTGTGTTGTGTCCTGTCTGCACAGCGCCTTCACCCTGAGAGGACAAGTTGTTATCTAAAGTTTACACCTCACAGAAAACTTTCTTTTTTTAAAAACTTTCCAGTGGAGTTTAGCTTATGTCATCTGAAGTTTCTTGGCAAACTGTGGGGCAGGGATCTAAAATTAGCCGTCTCTCTCGACAAGAGCTCACAGATGTTTATAAAGATAGAGATGTGAGGGGGATGCGAAAGAAGTTTTACTGAATTTCCGAGGCGAGACGACAGGAAAGGAGCGGGTTCACCTCACCCTCTTGGGCAGTGATGGGCCGCAGCTTCTCCTCGAAATCTGGGACAGACTCTCCCTTGGGGATGTGGGTGGATTTCTGCACCTGGCTGAATGACTCTGCCGCAGCCGAGGTCTTACGCTGAGCCCCCGAGTGCTCTGAGGGGACATGCAGGACGTGAACATCACAAACATGTGCACACAGGTAAATTACACAGCCGCAGCCATACATGGAAATGTCCTATGATCACTTTGAATGTTGCACTATAGTATGAATAATTAACTGGTTGATGTGCACTTGGCCGGGAGCTTGGAATAAAAGTCCGACATAAATGAGTCCCTGAGGTTTTGGCAGAAAAGACAAAATTGTGAAGAGTTGAACGGGTACAAATATCACTTAAAGCTACTTTTCTAATTGAGTTAATCAATTATATAACTTTAATGATAACCCTCATCTTCCATGTCAGTTCTCACAATCCAAAATTGTGCCATTACAAATCAGGGCAGATGGGGAGTTTATGATCCTGATGAATAATTCAAACCTTCCACGGTCCTTGACAAACCCTGGGACACTTTTCTCAGCTTGGATCTTGTGGAGGAGGTGAGAGTGGAGGAGGAGGAGGAGGAGGAGGAGGTCATCTGCATCATCTGCTGCTCCATCTGCTCCAGTCTGCCCCCAGTGGCCTGGAGAAGTTCTGCTGCCATGATGGTGATGATGATGTCAAGGTGGTGCCAGTGATTGCGGCTGAACACAGATAGAGATGTGTAATGACAGTTCAGAACAAGTGGCTGACGATGCTCATTTAACTCCTGCTTGTTGTGTCTAGCAGCTTTGCGTCGTGTTATCTTGCCTCCAGCAGATAAGAGGCACCGGCGGGACGCAGGACGATCCTAACCATCGTCTCTCTGCACTCACACACTGATACTGCTAATATCCTGCAGTGCAATCAGATACAGCGAAGGAGGATACACGGGAGGAGACCAGGGCTCGTGTTCATGGTACAGACACTATGTCTTCACTACGTCTTGGTGGTAAATTAGGTTTGTGTTTTCAGAAGCATACTTCGAAAAATGACTCAAGCCCCTTCCTCTGCTCTTCCCCTGCTCTTTCTCTGCTCCATCGTCTTTCTTTCAACAGTGACTACAATGGTTCTTTACCTCAGACAGGCTTCTACAAAAGATCCAATTAAAAAGCTAATACACGCACACACACACACACACACACACACACACACACACACACACACACACACACACACACACACGCCTGCTGTGTGAGATGAAGAGTTGTGTTTGTACCACTGAAGAACTGAGATCCTTCTCTTTCACTCTTGGATTTTGTTCTCCCCCTCCCCCCATCTACATATACGTGTGTGTGTTTGTGTGTGTGTTTGTGTGTGTGTTTGTGTGTGTGTTTTCATCTTTGGTTGCACATAATAAACACATGTTAGCATCGGTTAAGGAAGTATCTATATCTTTATCTATATCTATGACTAAATATTCACATCTATATCTATATTATATTTATATCTATATCTAGTTAGTCGTATAAAACTCACATGAAGCTCAGTGTGATCACATCTATGATGAAAAACACAATCATTTCTTGCAGAATGTCGCGTTATAAACAAAAGGGGGAAAAACAACCTGTACATTAACGTCTAATGATCATTTCTGTGCTGGATTTGTTTTGTACATTTGATTCTCACCAGAGGAAGTTTTGTTTTAAAGCGACCGTCTCAGTGATGGTTTTGTGTAAAGGAGCAGCAGGTGAAGCTCCACACTGTGCGGAACACATTGCTGTGTCACTGTCTGTGAAACAAAAGAACATCCCCACACCCTCTCTGCCTTTTTGCTCAGCATCCTTCATCTCTCTGATTCAGCCTCACAGTATCCAGCACGGCAAATTGCAAAATGTTTTCTTTTTTGGGGCTCTATTATTTCAGAAGAAAAAAGAACCAAGACAACCAAACTTACTTGTTACAGCAAAGCCTTTACTTCCTCGCAGATTTTGTCTGCACCCCAGGTTCCCGGCTCAACCGCTTCCAGCCCAAATGTCTCCTCTTATGATGTTCCTAATCCGCACGCTGCTCCCCTCTCAGCGTGATCCCAGCAGCTCGGGCTCCTCTGTTTTCTTGGCTCCTTTTTGGTGGATGAGCTGGTGCTGGGGCATTCAGCTTAAACACCTGCTGTGTCTTGTGTCTGGACAAATAAGGCTCTGATGTGTTCAGGGACCTCTGCCGGGCCTGTGCCGCGCTGGATGAAATCATCTTGATAACACTTCCCACAGGTCAGTCGTTTGAAGGTCGACCGTGGGTCATCTCGGGTGATGTATCTCTGAGTGTTAACATTCTCTAAAGGGCATGTGGTGATGGAGACTTTCTAGCAGGCTCTGCCTCCGAGGCCCATCTTCTTTTCTTCATTCGTATCAGTGGTCTCAGTGCATCATTAAGAAAATGCAACATTCAACAATTAAACAATGCTAAATAAATTATGCATCGTTATTCTCTGCTGGTTTTTGACCTTGTGTGTCTCTCCAGTGTTCAGACAATCTGCTCTGCGCTTGTTCAGCACTGACCCACATTGTTTTCAAGGTGAATTTTAATGATCACTTCCTTCTTGCCCTCAACAAGACGCTATTCTCCAGATTTTCCATAACGAACCAATTCCTCCTGCTCATATTTGGAAATGAGATTCACACATTTAAAGCACTGTTCCCTGGGAGGAGCAGCCACAGAGGAGAGACCTGTTGACTCACTTTTATGATCCAACTCTGTGTCACAGTTAAAAAGTTGGAAATATTCCCCGTTTACTGTGCTTGAATAAAGCTCGTTATCAGAGCTGGGTCACACATGAATGTTTCACTGCAGGTCCGGGCTACTTGTCATGGATGTGGCGTGAGAGGTGACAGTGGGAGCTCTTATGTGCGAATTGTCTGGTTTGAATCAGACGAGATAGATAGATATAGAGAAAGAAGGAGAGATAGACATAGACAGCCCCATTGGCATTACTTCCCTTTAATCCTCTTTGCATAACACCTGGCTGGCATACTAATGACGGAGAAGTGACCCAGATTTCTCTCCTTGCACATTTACACTCACGGCACAAAACAATGAATGACTTGGTTTTGAGTGATTTTTTCTCCTGAAGGAGTCCGAGTGTTGATATTCAGTCTGGATGACAGACAGTCTAACGCTTCAATACGACTTTGGTCTCAGTCGTCTGAGCTTCTTTTTCAGCAGCGTCCTGATGAATCCAATCACTGCTTTGAGGAGAGAGAGGCCAGAAGGCTGTCAACAAAAATCATTCATGTGATGTCTTTTGATATCGCACACTTCCTCGTGACGGCATCCTGCAGAACAAACAGGTTCTAATTAAGAGAAGTGAAGGAGTCGCAGTTTAACATGGTTTACATTGATGTGACGTTGGCAGCAGGGCTATTTTTACTGTGGCTGTGTTCAGACAAGTCATCTGTTCACACTGGAATGCAGCGCACGGTTGAAATCACCACAGACACCGACAAGATCTCTGTTGGGTTATCACTTCTAACTGCAGATCTGCAGGACAGGGGTCGAGGGGGTGATTGGAGTTGCTACTCTTAACTTTGTCTAGAAATACAACTTGCTTAATGCTATTCTGCACAGCAGCAGTTGTAACTATGTGATGTTAAACACTTCGTCTGAACCACACATCTCCAGAGACATCCAATTTTCAAATCTGTCTGTCTGTGTTTGGAAGAAACAGCTGCAGAGAAGTGTGTGAGTGTGTGAGTGTGTGAGTGTGTGTGTGTGTGTGTGAGCGGTCCAGGTATTACTCATTTTGTAGGGGATTGTGTAAATATATATATTATGGGGACTTGTCTTCCTTCTAGGGACAAAAAGTCCCCACAACGTAAATCATTCCAGGAAGTCAATGTAATGTTCTCTAGAATCTTGCTGTGTGTGTGTGTGTGTGTGTGTGTGTGTGTGTGTGTGTGTGTATGTGGTTTCTTACATACAACATTTACCACCACTATTTAATATCTGTTTGTATTTATGTGATGTTGAGAACAACACAATTGTGATCATGTGGAATAATTCCACTTCACATTGTGTGACTTGTTTACAAGCATATTTGTGGCTTTGTGTTGCATCTGAGTGTTGAATTCTATTGTTAGATTTTTATAATTTATTCACATTATGGGTTATTTACTTGTGTTTTAGTCTTGTCGGCCATAGTTTTTTAACAATGACAACTCAAAGCACTTTACAGGCAGAGGCAAGTTGGGGTTCGGTATCTTCCCAAGGACACTGAATGGTGGAGACTGGATTTGAACGGCCGACACTGGTTCGTAAACGACCCGCTCTATCTCCTGAGCCACAGCCCTACATGAATTATCCCTAGATATTTTATAATCTGATGACATAAATCGTTTTTATTTTATTTCAATTTTCATTTTTATGAAAATTAGCTTATACAGCTAACTCTGGCTCACTAACAGTATTTTGATTTTTGATTTTGATTCATGAGCATTGCTCTTGTAGAATAAATAAATAAAATAACAAAAACATGTTCTCCTGTAAGTGAATACAGACGAATACTACCACTGTACGAAACTTTACAAACTGGTTTTTAATCCTGCTCCTCAAGTATCATCTCCTCTCCCCTGATCTGTGCTCCCCGCAATTTATCTTTTCTCCATCTCCCCTCGTCTCCTCCTTCCTCCTCTCCCCCGTCTCCCGTTTCCCCTCCTTACTCATCCGTAAACGTAGAGGAATGTTATTTCCCCCGAAAGGAAATTTGATAGGGCACAGTGGAACAGAAAAGAAATGCCACTCCGCACCTGTTTGGGGAGGCAGAGGAGGCTCAGGCCCAGAGGGCAGCCATAACTGATCCGGACGGGATGCAGGAGGCAAAAACCCCTTAATCCCTGTGACATTTCAGCTCAGACTTCTCATCAAAGCCTGCAGGTTGCTGCAGAGCTGCCCAGGAAATAGAGAAGGTTATGGCAACTGAAGGAGATGAAGGCTGAGGGACAGAGACACAGGCAGAGACAGACAAAGACGGACGAGCAGGAGTTGGATTAAATCTCGGCAGTGAGATTATTGGAAACTGCAGGTCTTGAATCAGATCCAATGCTGATTAAAAGTTACTCTACTCTCCTCAAAATGCAAACACCATCACACCCCGAGCTGATGCTCCGTGCATACTGAGTCCTTCACCCTTCAGCTGTGCTCAGTGGTATCATAACCTCAGAGCCACACTTCTGACACCCGTCACAGGCAGCTGAACATTCACTCCTCCCCCGTGGGCACCATGCAGGAGTAATACCCCAGCAGGAAGCAGCAGCTCCACCACCTCTATATCATCCCCCACCTTGAACACCCTCCATATCTGTGCTCCGCACACCACCTCCTCCTGGATTCAAGCTCTGGGATCCCTGGAAGGTGGCACCTAGACACCAAATGCTTTCTTGCAGGCATGAAAGAGAGGGGGAAGACAGAGGGGGGGGGGAACATGAGGTACATTTTCAACTGAGAAAAGACATGTGCCTGGATGTGTTTCAGATTATATAAAACCCTTCCCTTCAGCCAATTTACACCTTCTCCTATCTGCTACTCAACAATAAACGCAGGCATGCAGTGTGCAAAACTTTCTATATACCTTTAATGTGAGTTAAAAGCGTGCAGGGTCCCTCGCTGTGCTTTGGATGCTTGCCTGCCCTCGGATGGAAGGGAAATGACAGAAGGAGCAGTCAGGTACTGACTGAGCAGAAAACAAGAGTTGTTTTTGTCTCCAGTTTGACACAAAACAAGTCAGATGATCAAACATGAAGAGGAAGAGAACCAGGACACCGAAAAGCACGATAATGTCCTGCAGCCAGGAGAGCGCAGGAACAGGAAAAAACTGAAACTATTTGATTGCACACTTTTGACTTTCAAAACCAACTGTGTGTGTGTGTGTGTGTGTGTGTGTGTGTGTGTGTGTGATGAAATACCCTCAGTTTCCCTGCAACAGCAAGGTGAAGTTTTTGTTTCAGCGCAAACGACTGAGGTCATTCCCTTAAGTACTCATTTCAATAGGGCCCAGATGAATACCTAAGCATTTTATTTATGCTCAGTGTTTGCTCAGAAGATTACATTATTAATCCACAGAGGAGGGGGGGGGGTGGATTATGGTTTGTGGTCCGACACGTTCAGAAGGCACAGCTGGGACAAACTAAATTGAGGTCATATTCTTCATGGGCCAGGTTGCGAGTCCTTCTGATCCTTTATCTACATCCTCAATGGCATCAATAGCTTACTGCGACCACAGCTGGATGATTGGACAAGTATTAAATTGCGGATAAACCACATGTTGGATGCATTTTGTCGATGATATATTAAAAGGTAAACCTGTGTGTGCACTTAATCTGTGGAAGGGCTGTGGAAATAATCCAAAAGTAGTTGAGTGGATGGTGACACGGATGGAATATAAAGCCGTGCACACTGATTTTCCCCACGTGTGTTTGGTCTCATAACATTTGAACACAACCAACACAAGGTTATCACTTGTTTCACTTGATGTGGTCGATGCTCTTTTTTATGTTTTGACCAGAAGGGGGCAGCCAAGCGCACGTCCTGAGCGCACAGCTGGGTGTTGGCCACACGCAGCATCACAGACCACATTATGTGTTAATTCGTTTGTTTCGACCTGAGTAACAAAAGTCACTTATTACAAGCTCCATATTAAAACCATGTATAGATTGAAGTTGTCAGCCATCAGAGAGGTTTTCAAATTGAGACTACACCCTGACTCCAAGTGAAGAAAACTGGGGGAACACTAACAAAAGAACAATGCAATAAAATTTAATAAAATTCAATTTAACGAAGTTGCATCAAATTTCACAAACTGATAGACAGGGGCGGATCCAAGGGGGGGAACCAGAGGGGTGCTGGCCCCCGTTGAAATAAGATCGGCCCCTGAAGTGCTCCTGACGTAATAACTTACGATACTAAAAAATACTTTGATTTTTATTTTCTAAGCTTTTGTCGAAAAACACAACGTCCTTGAACAAGGAACAATTTTCAAAATACGCCCAATGATGTGTGGCTTTGCTCAAATCTACAGAGCTAACGTTAACCAGGGGTAATTTAAATGTGCGCCTCTCTAAATCAGGAAATCTGCATGGGTGTTGGTCAAATTCCGTAATTGGCCCCTCTGTGTAATCTGTGGCCCCTTTATGGCCTCTTAGAGAAACTCATAGATATCAGTTCTCTCCCCTCCTTTCCACCCACGAGGCAGATGGCCGCCCACATCTGGTTCTGCTAGAGATTTCCTCCCGTTTAATGAGGACGTTTTCTGGCTCCGCAGTCACCAAAGTGCTCGCTCATTGGGGGAACTGTTGGGTTTCTCTCTAATTTTAAGGTTTCGACCTTATGTAAAGCGCCTCGGGATAATACAACTGAAAATTTAATTACATGGGCCTGATTTTTCATCCCCGAATCTGAGTCTGCACGACGGGTTGTTCCCTGACCTGCAGCACATCCTTCCAACAAGTTTCATGGAAATCTGTCTCGTTGTTTTTTGGTGTAATCTTGCTGCCAAACAAACAAACAAACAAAGTCAAAGTGAACTTTATTGTCATTCAGATCATACAAGTGCACAGAAGAATGAAATTGCTTTTTCTCCCGGCTCCAAGTGCAGATATAGAAGGCAAGTAATTTAACACAATAAAAATAGACATAACAGACAAAACCTACAGACAACAAGTCATAGAAGTCATCTCACAGATGTTGGATTATTGCACAGGGTAACATAAACAGTATCAGTAATATAAACTTGTAAGAGTAGATGTAAACTTTCAAAGTAAATGTAAACTTGACACTGGTGAATATCAATAAGGTGCAAACAAACAAACACACATGGGTGACCCCCCCTCTGCAGGAGCATAATTTCTTATCACAGATTATTTCTGTGCACAGTTAATATTTCATTTTTTATTCCCTACCTATAAAACCTCTAATATCCTGAGAGGATAATGAGCCACGGTGCAGCAGCTCCGTGTTTTCTGAGTCTTCATCAGGCTGCTGGAGAAACGACTTATCATTGTTTATCAAATTAGCACCGGGGCTTGACTCAGAGGGAAAGGACGGGGAGAGAGCAGGGGAAAAAAGCTGCACGAGTTCCCCGGCTCTGCGCTCCGCTCATTGGCCGGCGGATCTCACTCGTACCAAGCGACGGTGAGCGCAGGCGTCGTCATCCCGCCTCCTCTGGACCCTTTGCGGGGCTGCAATTGGCCGCCGCGGCTCGCTCCGTCCACGCAGGTTAGGTTGCTCCGCAGCGTTAAGATGTTCAATTGATGGGCGTACCGAGGCTGTGCGGCGAAAGGAAGAATCCGGTACGCGTTTCTTTTTGGAGCAAAACAAACAAACAGAAAAAAAAAAAAAAAGACATGTCCTCCCCGGGTCGGATCGCAGCTCGCCTCCGGTTCCCCCGCGACGCGTCTCCCGGAGCTCCGCTGCAGCTTTCCCCTCCCTGTGCGCGGTGACAAGCGGGTTTTTTTGGACGATGCTAGCGCGGCGTTTTAACGGAGGAACGAGGCTCCTGACAGAATAACAACAACAACACAAGGCTGCACGGTGTCAGTGTCGGTGCGTGTGGATGAGCTCCTCTTTGTTTGTGATCTTCCTCCGCGGGGGACTCGGACACTCCGGGTGGAAATAAATGCACCTGCCGCGCAGCCGAGGACCCGAACCGGAGCACATGGGAATATCTGCTCCCCAGGACCTCGCGTGGTGAAGTCGCTTCTCTGAGTTGAATTTCTCCTCCTCCGCCATGGAGCACGCACAGTTTCTCCTCTAACATCGTTTTTTTTTTTTTTTTAAATGTTGCCTCGTCTCTGGGCTTCAAACCCGCCCGAGTGTCGGGAGGATGACAGCTGATCGCCCCTCCTCTCCCGGGACTTAAATAAAAACGCGCTCCATCTGAGATCCGCTGCCCGGAGTCTCAGTTTCAGCTGGTTTAACAATAGCCGGAGCCGCCGGGGGGCTGTGACATTTGGTTGATTGCCACCTCAGCCTCCCCCCTGATCGGCTTACTCGCCTCTCGGTTCCGCTGCTGGAGCCCGGGTCATATTTCTCTGAAGGGCCCTTTTTTAATTTCATTTCAGGGGGAAGATTAAATCAACTGTGCAGGAGCATCTCTGCAGGAAGTGTCCGATCCGATCACCTCTCCTCCTCCTCCACATGAAAACTTTGATTTCTCCTCTCTGACACTTTGCCCCTGGCTGCTGCTTCCCTTGGTCCGGGGGATGATCCTTGGAAGTAGCCGATAAAATAATCAGCGTCGCGGTGTCAGCGGAGGCTTGAGCTACAGGGGATTTGTGTCAGATTATCGCCGGACTGCTATTTTGCTCCCCGGGTCACACTCTCCTCTGAACTTAGCGGCTTTTGATCTGCAGCCTTTTCCCTGCTGCCGCCTGGAAACTCCTGCGAGGGGGACGGAAGCCTGCGTCTTTACAACCGTCGCCATTCATGAGGGGCCGAGGTGGGAGAAACGAGTTGCACCCATGAGCGATGATTGCCACAGAGGTGTCAGGACTCACATCTGAGGACACGTGGATCAGGGAGGAATGAGACGCGCGTAAAAGTTCCTCATTCCTTGGTTTTTACGCACGCTGCCTGGAATGCTGTGACCGAGCGGGAGGTCGGGAGCCCTGTCGAGCACAGCCACAAACAAAACACACACTTACACACACACACACACATACATACACTTACACACACACACACACACACACACACACACTTACACACACAGCAGCGCCCGAGCGACTGCGCCTTCCGGACCCGTTTCGACTCTCCACCGGGCAGCCACCGGAGGATGTTCGAGCCAGGATGCTGCGCTTCCCCGTGAAGAAGATCCGGAAGCAGTTCAAGCTCCTGCTGCTGCTGGTTCTGCTCACCTCGGCCGTGTGGTTCACTTACCTGCACATCAACCAGGGCAAGACCATCAAACTCCACTTCAACTACGGGAAAGGTAAGAGGAGGCTTTGTCTGTTCTACCTTTTTCACCTCGCCTGTCGTTTCAGCTTGGTGGATGAGACCCAACAGTCTCTAAAGACATTTAAAAGGCCATTTAACAGCCTCCTTTATGAATACTGTAGTGACACCTCAGGAGACAACACTATAAACTAGTGTAACATCACTATAAAGTCACATGGAGCTCCTGCAGGAATATTATAGGAATATTAAAGTGACACCATGAAGCATGATATGCCCATCCGAATAGACCTAATAACAGATAAGTCAAGATAAAAATCAGTGTAAACACTACACCTATAAGAATGTGTTCCCAGAAACAGCTGCCACACTGACCTCCTACATCCTGCTTGTTCACTCCTGTGATGGGTGTGTATAGGAGCAGATATGACTCTAAAGAAGAAGCCTCATAAATTCACAATCGCTTCCTTCTCCAGGTCTAAGAAAAGAGAGCTGTGGTCCTCGGGGCCAGGTCGAAAAAAAAGAAAAAGAAAAAGCCAGGCCGCAGCCTCGCCACATTAATAATCAAAAGGGTCCTTCATGAAGGGGGCTTCAGAGGTCACAGGCGTGCCAGACTCACTTGGACAAACATTAGGGAGGTGCACGGGCAGTGCTGCGGAGGCCGATATCCACCTGCTGCTGAGATGATGTAGCTGAGGATGATGCAAAGAAAAAAAAAAAAAAAAGCAGCTTTTAATGAAAAAGAAAATGGATAAAAGGTGTCGGATGATGTAAACGCACCATCACCTACTACACATTCAACACTGTGTTGATGGTGCACTCTATCTCTTGCAGCTGTCCGTGTAAAGTGATACCAGTGATTATGATGTCCTTGAAGAGTGTACGCCGTGCACACACACACACACACACACACATACACACACACACACCATGCACCGACAGGCAGGGTACGTTTCATTGTCTTTGATCTCATCCGTGCAGGTTTTTCTTTTTCCAGCAATCGACTAGATTTAGTTTTCAGATGATCAGAGACTCTGGGGCTGAAGGCTGTCACTCCGGGCTTGTTGCGTTCAGTAACTGCAGTTACTTGAGTGAGTTGTGCGTTTGTGTCAGCGTTGAGGGTAAAAAAAACGCAGAACAACACAGTATCCTTGCAGTGAATCCAAGGTTTATGAAGCGTGTAGTATTCAAGAAAGGTAAATAAAACATTGCATTGCATTGCACTGCATTGTACAGGTGGTCACGTTGTGCTCACTGTGGAGCTGATGCAATGATCAGGAAGCTCCTGTAGAAACAGACTCACTGAACACCATTGTCCTCACCCTCTTTGATTTTTTTCTGCCCGCAAGAAGTCTCTGCTGACTTTGTGCAACTTCTCCCTTGAGCATGACTTTGTGTTTGTCGTTTTAATGCTTCAGCTTGTAGCCTTGCCTTTTTGTGACACGTCCGCTGCGGTCGTCTGGCTGGGAAGAAAGGAAGGAAGTGGTGACGCTGTTATGCGACGTTCTGTGCGTCTAATTGACTGTCTTCCATTTAGCAGGCAACTGAGCAGGTCAGCTCACTTAACCTCTTATGAATAACACGTCCCCTCTCGCGCCAAGGGTTTCTAAGTGAGATGTAGCCATTACTGGATATGGCGGCTCTATGAAGTGTGTAAATATTCATACCGGCCTGGTAATCATTGATTCTAAGCACTGATGTGGGGCAGGTAGAAATAATGTAATCTCATTTTTAGCCCGAGTCCTTTTATTTGAATATGAAATGACAATTTGTCAAATTTCCATTCCGCATGTCCCCCATTTTGGAGGAAATTAGATTTATCACAGCCAAATCCACGGATCAGGCAGATTGCTACTTGTGCTTCATCCGCTAATGTCTTATTGGCATGTGACCAGCAGACTTATGAGAAACATAAACATCTTGGCATAAGGTTCCCCATTGAGGCAGCATCAATTTAATTGTGAATAATGATTTGAGGAGCTTGTTGGAGACGGTTGACGGAAGAAGTCTTTCTAACTTTCTTCTGCTCACCTCAGTTTGCTCCTGTGTTAAGTGATGGTGATAATGAGGCAGCAGAGACCTGAACCTTTGAGAGTAGGCTCTCTTAATGGCGTCCTGTGGAGTCCTCCATGGCAAACAAACACAGTTTTGTATATGTTCAGTGTTCCTCACTGAAACACAAACATTTACTACCTCTGTTTGAATCCTTTTAAGCTGTTCGTACCAGTCTGCGGTGATCTTTGCCTTTAATTTGGTTCTTTTTTGGTGCATTACATCCACCAACTGTTGCTGCCCTGTGCTGTGGGCAGTAATGTGTGCGTGCGTCCTTGTGTGCACCCTGCTAGAGACACACAAAAACGTGGCGCTTTGGTTTTGGAATATTAATGAAAACTGGAAAATAACACAAGGGAGTTTTCTGAAAGAAAAGCTCTCTTGTCAGGTGTACATTTCCTCCACCCAGCTTCAAATGGGAATGTTGTGTATTTTGTTTTCTGGTCTTTACATTGCTAACCCAGCCTGACAGACACATTATCACTCAGAAGTCATGTGTGGCCATTAATACCACTTTATGGTTGTTATGCAACTATATCAATCTCGCACAAGTGTCATCAGCTCAATTTGAACCAGAACTGTCATCATTCAGACAACGAAGCCAGACACAGCTGTATTGAAATGAGCCATGACTTTCTGCCGCTAAATAATTCAGTGCAAGATGGGAGCCGCGTGATAGAGCGGTGATAGAGCGGGGATTCAGTTCACGCACCTTATTTTTGGTGTGATTTCTGTAGAGAGTGGAAAGGCAGACGGGAGAGAAGCGGATCTAATCTCAGGACGATGATTGTGCTCACAGGAACAGCATTTGGAGAAGTGAGGCGTTTTAAAAACGTGAGGCACGGAGAGGAGATTTCAAACAAAACAAAAAGTTAAAGTTACCTTCTGTGAACATGTCACTGAAGAGACTGCGTGATTATCCATCATCTGTATTTCCTGCATGTGTCTTGTTTATGAACGGGCAGACAGATATTACAGAAAGATGAGAACATGATTTTTTTTGATCGTCCAGTTATTTCATGAGGCATTAAATCATACCTTCTTAAAAGCCAAGGTAGGTGTTGTAACTACAGTGTCGGGGGGGAAGCCAAATAGGTAAAATTTAATAGTTGTTAGATTGCACACTGGCCAGACCGGCCTTATTTAATCAGAATTTCAATGAGGAAGTGTGTTGGCAGGCAGCGCTGTGGTGCATATTTGATGAGTGCCACATTTATGCGGCCACCCAGTTGTACAACAGCCCCCCTGTTTCCCAGCATCAACAGGTCCACTGAGGAGGAGGAGGAGAAGGAGGAGGAGGAGGAGGAGGAGGAGGAGGAGGCTGGCTGCTTCTGCTGCATACAGCCGTCTATTGATTAACTGTGATTACACATGTGCGAGCACAAACACACACACACACACACATGCATGCACTCAGCCACCCCCACACAAACACACAAATACAGTTCCTTTGTAAAACAGCACACAATTCATACATGTACCTCATATCATCACTGCTCTGAAGAGATAAGCAGGAAGAGGGAAATCTCAGGGGCCTCAGCAGAATACATCTGCGCGGTTGCCTGCAGAGACAAACAATGTTAGGGAGGAGTGTGTGGTGTTGGGCTGCTGGGATGTAACAGTGTTTATTTTAGCAAGATTAATGCTTCCATGGGTTTTTAAAGAAGCGTGGATGTTAAATAGCCACTGAGAGGTTAAACCAGACAACCTGTGGATGCAGAGTCTAAGTATTAGAAAGATAAAGAGCCACACACACACACACACACACACACGTTCACAGTCAGTCTTGGGAATACAGTGGTTGCAGTTCAGAATCAACTGGAGGATTTGGCTTGTTGTTGTATCTTAGCAGCAACACCCTCAGGCTGCCTCGCTGTCATGGTAACCATGCCCTCCGATGTCACTTTCCCTAATTTTAGCTCTTGTAGTTCTCACGGTCGGTCAGCTTCACCTCGGCCAGAACCCCTCTGGAAGCAGAATTGTAACATACACCGCCCTACCTTGTGCTTGTGCGTGTGTGTGTG